GGGTCAGATCCTGAGTGAGTTTGTGGGCGGTGGGACACAAATGGACATTTATGAGCAGACTGCTGCGTGCTGAGGCGCTGTGCACACCCAGCTAAGGAGACAGGGTCTCCAGCCTCAAGAAGCACTCCACTGCACCCCGCCCCCCCCGCTCCCCGCCCCCCGCCCCCCCTACACACACACATCCATACCTAGGCAGCCTTTCTGTTCTCTTCCTCTGGAAAACCTGACCTCAGGAAAGCAACTGATCACAAAGCCATGCCAATCTGCTCTATCCATTCTGTTCCTTACATTAGTAACGAGCCTCACTCGCTTTCGCTTGCCTGCCCTCTGGGTTGTGGCTAGACCCCTGACTGCCCAGCCGGGGAATGTATTTCCCAACCTACCTCCCAGCTACATACTGGCCATGCGACCGTGAGCAATAGGATATAAGTGGAAGTACATGGCATCTTCTGGAGCCCATGCTTCCCTTCCTCTTTCTTCTCCCCCCGGGCTGGGGCTGGGGCACGGACTCGGAGTGCAGGGATGAGCAGACTCTGCTCACTGGTGGCTGGTGAAGCAACGGCATAGAGGCAACCTGGCTCTATGGACCGTCTCCCGGGGCAGAACCGTCCACCCTCCTCGCACCCTCCACCAGCCCAGACGTTGACGTGAGAGACACACTACATCCTTCAGTCCACGGGAACTGGCTTTGGCTAAAGCAGTAGAGCCAGCATCCTAACACTCATACAGCGTGCTCACTCCCACAAGGTGAAGACACCGAAGGAATAGCAGCGTAGACGTTCTATCCGAGTCCCTGCAGCCCTATCCAGAGGCCATCGCCGAGCTGCAGACCTGACGTTCATGACCAGGTCCCCAGTTCCCGCTGATGTCCCGAGGTATCTCTCGGTTCGTTCTTCCTTCACCGTGTTAGGCTCCACTGTGTGGGAGGAGCCCAAGGCCCTGAGACTGGAGCAGCACCGACACCACAGCCGAGAGCATCCCTGTCTTCAGCCGGGAGCCCGCTTCCCACTTCTCCGGCAGCCCTCCATGTGTGTTACCTAAGTGGGCATCTTAGCTCCACTGGCCGATAAGGCATCAGAAACCCATCCGTCTTTCCCTGGAGCCCAGGGCCGACAGAAGCTCAGCCTCTCTGAGTCCCCGTCGTGAGCTCTTGACGTTCTTCCTCAAAAGAAGAACAGTTCTCTCCTGGGAGATGAGGGTCCGCCAGCACCAACCAGGGGACACGACCAGGAAGTCTTTTATCCTTTCTTAAGGGAGTTGTAAAAAGGACAATTAAACCGCAGAAATGTGAGCACTGAAGGAGGAAGTACGAAAGTCAACATCATGCGGGTAAAAGAATGTCCAGGAACGATCAGTACTTGGAGGTCAGCGGTTACTCGTTCAAACGGTTCTTGTGAATGTTCGACCACTGGGAAACTTTCAGAATGCCAGGCAGCCAATGGTTCCTAGATTCAAATATATATATCGTTACCCTAGACATACAGAGAGTACCAAAGACCCGCTCTTATTCCTGATTTCTCAGCTTAGTGAGCAAAGCAACAGAGAGCCTGTGGCCACCACACTGGACTCGTTTCCTGGAAACTTCTAAATACCAGACCACAGAGCTTGACTAACGACTTTGGACTCGGTGCCCACTGTGTGTGTTTAGGGAACTGGCTGCCGTGGGAAAGACCCAAGTGCCTGATCCTTACGTCAACATCTTTGGCCCTGAGAATCACCAGAAAGGGGAGGGAAGGGGGGTTAAGGTGGCCCAGATAGAAGTGGGAAGGCGGGGTGGATGAGGAAGGGCGGAAGGCCACCACATGAAGGGAAAGCTTCCGTTGTCTGGGAGGAACTGCAGGTTTCCTTCTCCGTATATTGAGGCAGGAATGTAGAAATCAACAGCCTTTGTGTCAAGACTCAGATCTGGGTCCCAACGCAGCCCCCGGACCTGGCTGAGCTGCCTTTGCAATAAAATGCAAACAGTAAATCAGCGGATGCTACACTGATCCCAGGGGGTTGGAACGCCGTAGGATGTCCCCAAAATACTTCAGATGTCTGCCATACTGGTGACGGTGTTTGTCACGAGAGAGCATGCTGAGGCGGCAGTTACTCAGTTCTTTTGTTTGTGCATGCAAACTAGCTTCAGCAAAGACGGGAAACTCGGTTCAGACAATGGGGGGCAGCAGTTATCAGAGCTAAAAGCAAATATCCCATTTTCCTTCCTTCCTGGCACATGGTGGGGTTAGCATTCTCTGCCCTCTTTAAAGTTAGATGTGACCATGTCACCTGCCTGTCGCTTCTGGGCAAAAGCTTTAAGAACAAGGGCACAGCCCGCTGTATTCCCTTGTCCCGTCTCTGTGATCGTGAAGGCACACGCTGAGATGCAGTTCGCAAGGTCTGGGGCCCTCGGTGACTGCAGCAAGTCAACCACCACCTCCCGCCCCCCAACTCCACTGGCTGTGTGGCCAAGATAAAGTTGGGTTGTATTCAACGCCACTGCACCATGGGACTGTTTGCTGCTGCACCACAAGCCTGCAGTGAGTGGATTTCATTTTCTGTATTCTTGATGCTCTGGCATGTGGGGTCTTGATCCTGGACTGTTCCTCCTAGGGTGAGCTAATTCCTAGAGACTGCAAACCACCCCCAAGAGCACATCTGGGACACACAAACCAACCAACGCGTAGTCACACCTGCAGACACATCTTGCATCAAACTGGCACACAGCAAGCCAACGCTGCCCCAGCCCTGAGCCACCCAGGAGCAGGCACTGGACAACCAGGTGTAGCCTGGGGCCCGACATCCTCTGAACCAGCCAAACCTGAGCCTACTCAGCGTACCCACCCTGCCTCGCCCCTTCCTTCCCGGGGAAACCTCAGTGAAGTCCTGCTGCTCCCCGAACAACCCCGGTCCCTCCCTGATGTGGCCCTTTGTACTGCGTGTGCCTCCTGGGTCCAGAAATCCACGAATAGAATCTTTCTTCATGACAATTATTTGTGTCTGTCTTTCCATTCCTGATTCAAGCATATCCTGGGCACATTTTCCATCCTGACAGAAACACTAGGAGGTAGATGAGGTTGGCATCAGGCACACTGCGTTTCTCCCCTTCGCAACCTCCAAGCTCCGCTTTTCCCAGGGCTGGCCCCTTCGCAGATGCGCTGTCTCTGAGCGGGAAGACGGATGGTCCTAAGCATCCTGGCCTCGCTGCCAGAGCCCAGAGGCAGGAGGTGGTCTTCGCTGCTGACTCCAGCAGAGCAAAAAAGTTGTAGGGGGAGACTCAGACTGGCCTGGCTTGAGTCCTGTACAACCGCGGGACAACCTCCGTGGGACACGCACACTGACCAGGATGCAGCCGAACGCTCAGCCCTGTGGCCAGGCAGTGGAAAGCCCTGGGCAGCCAGGAACACAGTCGCCACTGAGGCCTGTCATTGCCCTTTTGTGGGTGGCGTCTGGATACCCAGACCGTGCTGCTCTGTAAGGAAAGGACAGCATGCAGACAGTTCTGCTGGGAAACCAGGCGAGTAGTGAATGAAAGAACATCCTCTGAAATCAGTAAGTGGAAGTAGGGTCAGGCCAGCCAGAAATAGGGTGTCCAAAACCTAGCTTCCCTGACAGTGGAAAACAAGCACCTTGCATGAGCACGTGAGGAAGAGGGCAGCAGTCGTTTATCGAGGTCTCCAGTCACTGACACCTTCCCCACCCCATGCTCCCAGACGGTCCATTCGGTGGGTCTGCCCAGAGGGAACGCCCAGACCTCCAGGTACCCACGGTGGGCTCCCTGCTTCAAGCTGGTCTTTTACAGGGGCCCACAGTGTGAGATCTGAAGATCCTCGTGGGTCATTGGGAATAGAAGGAAAACAGAGGGAATGAATTCAAGACAAGGCCCTCAACCTGGAACAGTAGGCTGCCTTCCCTGGTCCACAGACTTGTCACTGAATGTCAAGAACGAACGTTAGTTTCCTGCAGAAAGGACCCACGGCTCTCGTCAGCCTCTGTGACCCCCAGCGGGCTGAGCACGGCCACCTCAGCAGGAGGCGACTCAGCTGCCAGGTGCGGCAGACGAAGAGCAGCCTGGGATGCCCCCCTTGACCCTCCTGGTGTCTCACCAGGAGGGCAGAGTTCTCATCTCTACCTCGGTTCCCATGTATTTTCCAAATGGAGCTCAAGTCAGAGAACTCCACGTCCCTTGCAGAGTCCTGTGTGGAAGAGGAATCTGGGCCCAAGTCCCAATGAGGCCGTTCACCAGCAGGTGACCTAACCTCAGAGAGTGGACTCCCTATCCAGCAGGGGGAGGAACTGCACTGTCACACCAGCCCCGTCATGGTAGCTGGACCAACGGATGCAGAGCGCTTTCTACTCTTCTTCCCATTAATGACAAAAGCGAACATCACCAAGCCCTTCCTATTGGTCAAAAAGAGTGTTAAGTGCTTTTGGGTGTGTGATGTCATTTAGTCTTTGCAAAAGGCCTCTAGGGTAGGCAGTATTATTATCCCCATTTAACTGAGGAGTGGGGAGGTGGGAGGATTGAGGCTCAGAGACAGAGTCCTTACTCCCCCTCCCCCAGGTGGCAGAGCTGGCTCCCACCCCTGGCTGCCTGTCTCACGTCCTTCCCCTTAACCCAGGCTTCCCCTCCACCCATCCCCCCTTCCCCCACTGTCCCCAACCCCTGAGGCCACTCAGAGAGCAGGCTGCGGGTCTGGATGGGGGCAGGGGAGTCCTACACCCTGTGTCCCTGTGACATGTCAGGCATGTGACAGAGATGGTCTCGTTCGGCTAGACTCCAAGGAGTGCTCTCGCATGTCCCAGCTCTTGTGACAAGCACAAACTGTCAACCTTGCTTTTGCTCTTCACAAGACGCACAGAAGGTGGCGAGGGCCGCGCGCCTGGTTTCAGGTCACACTGGGGTCACGAGCTCAGCTGGGAATTAGGAAGCAGGGATCACCCTTACCAAGGATGGGCAGCACTGGCCTGAGGCAACAGTCTCAGGCGGAGGGTGAAGCTGCAAGGAGCGTGACCAGACGTTTTCAGAACTGCTGTTTATTCCCAGTCCCTTCCACGTCTTCACCCAGGCGTGGCTACATTTATCAGTGGCCCCCCCTTCAGACTTCCTGTGCTGACAGGTCCAGCCGGGCCGAGGGAGCAGGGAAGGCTCTGGACTCAGGGCGGGGGGCCCACTGCGGTGACGCTGCTCCGTGGGGTATGCCCAGTTTCTTGGACAGAGAAGCACGAGCCGCTGGCGTCGCCCAGCTGCTCCCCCCACGAGCTCCAGTGCTGGAAAGGAACTTATTAGACCAGCTCTCTCAGCAGACGCGCTGAGGCAGCAGCCGCAGCAAAGGCTCCCTCACCCGCCACTGCGGTAATCACTGCACGCAGAGCAGGGGCATTCCACAGAAGGAGGCTCCTGAGCACCGGCGTCAGAAAGAGGACGGAGAAGAGGAGGACGGCGAAGAGGAGGACGGCGTGGGGGCGTGGCTGCTACTTCCCGGTGCAGGTGTGCCTTCCAGACGGCAGCCCCCCTGCACCCCCACCGTCCCGTAGCTGCGGCCACCACAGGCTGGGCCGCCCACCCTGGGTCTCGAGGTGCTCCACCGCAGACAGCAGCTGGGGCCGGCAGCTGGCCGGGGTCATTTGTTGGCCATGGCAGAAAGCTGGTCTCGGATGCGGCCCAGCCCGTCCAACATAGTGTCCAGCGTTTCCTTACTCAGCTCCACGGTGACGGCTGAGACGAAGGGTTTGTCCCCACACAGGCTTGGGTCTTCTTGGACCTGAAAAGAGAACATGGCCCCCAAGTCAAAGTCACCTCACTTCCAAATGCCCAGAGAGGCTCTTTGCTTAGAGCTACAGACAGTCCTGGCCCTGGTGTCACTCAGCAACCGGAGAAGGAGGGAGATGCCTCAGAGGCTGGGGGTCAGCTTCCACTTGCAACAAGCACTCAGGGCGGGTACCCAAGAAACCGGGCTCGCTCCCACCCCGAGCGGCGCAGCAGTCAATGAGGAAACACCACGTGTTCATATTGGCAGTTTACGCAGGGGCCCTCGGGGTGCAGAAGAAGCCAGTGGGATGCAGGCAGGACACAGGGGTGGGCTAAAGTAGGTTTATAAAGCACTCTGTGCCGCCTGTGCTGGAGTATAGCAAGTAGACTGTGAAATGCGTAAATAATGGGGGCCGGCAATTTGAGCACTGCTTACTAGATTCTGCCTGAGTGCACTGTGATGTCCTCTTGCGTTAATGAAGCTTTGCAATAATCATAACCACACGAGCCACTGTAAACCTACTTTTGCCCACCCCTGTCTTATAACTTCCACTTATATTTATATCTCTTCTAAAAGGTGAGCTTTACTAATATTTAATAACGTAGAGGCAACCTTACATTTTCATTTCCTTACAAGTTTTGAGTTTCTGAGTGTCTGGTTAGTCAACACGGCCAGCCTCCCATTATGGAGTGTTAACTAGACAAACCCTCCGAATGGAAAATGCAGCTTAAACTGATTTCTGGAGAGAACTGTAAAGTGAAGCCCTGGCCGCCGTGGCTCAGATGGTTGGGTGTCATCCCACAAAGCGAAAGGTCACTGGTTCGATTCCCGGTCAGGGCACACGAGAGGCAACCGATTGATGTTTTTCTCTCACATCAATGTTTCTTTCCTTCTCTTTCTCCCTCCCTTCTCTTCTCTCTAAAAATAAATAAAATCTTATTTGAAAAAAAAAAAAAGAAGAACTGTAAAGTGAAGGTGACACCCAAGAGGCAGGAGCCTGGGAACAAGAAAATGAAGAAGTGACAGGTCTCCATCTGCTAACGGGGACGAGCCACGTGACCCCCAGTGACAACCGCATTGCGCTGCAGGAGAAGCTGGCTGATGCACAGCAAACCGTCCAGAAGGCCATTCGGAATCTGAAAGCGCTCTTCTTATTAAAGCTCAACTTCCCCAAAGGCCATAAGGTAACCTCTAGGTATTGGCAAATGTCTTTAAAATTTATGTTTTGTGTTTGTCTTATTATTTTAAAATTTCTACTCTCAGCGTATGCTTTATCATATCTAGGTTAATACAGCAACACACACATACTTTGTAAATAAATACTGTACTTGGGGGGGCTTGCTTTTTTTATTTATGGGGTCAGAGATGCCCATGCTTCAGAGACCGGTATTTTCCATGGTGTGCAGGGGCACCGAGTCAGTGCGGCCCCTTCCCCCCTCCCAGCGCGGGTGGCAGTGCACGCACCTTCATCTGCAGCAGGCAGGTGGGGACGGCCATGCGGCTGATGCTGTCGGAGGCGGTTTTGATGTCCACCCTCCAGTCCAGATCGACCAGGCGCGGCAGAGAGACTGTGGAGGGGACAGCTCGGCTCAGAGCTCACGCCGCCCGTGTTCGCCGAGCCTCTGCTCTGTGACCGGCGGCTCTGAGGGCTGTCCGTGGGCGACGCATGCGAGCCACACAGTGAGTCCCTGAGGGGGACGGGCCGGCGGGGCCCACTGCTCCGTGCCACCTGCACGTAGCACTGATTCCTGGCAGCAGCGTCCCCAGGCCTGTGCCTGGACACCCGAGGCCCCCGATGTCAGGGCAGAAGGGGAAACGACACAGGGCAGAGAAGGTGAGGTTGTGGCTGGAGCCTTCGGAGATGTGCAGCTTCCACAGCAGTGGAAAGAGCTTTAGTTCGAGGGACAAATGGACTTGGCTTGCAGGTGGGTTCTACCACCTGTCTGACCTCTGGGCCGCCACTTCCTCGCCTGTAAAGTGGGGATGATCTCGGCCGAGCTCCCAGGGTTGCTGGGAGGACTCACTCAGTTAGTGCAGGGAGAATTCTTCAGCACAATGACTGCCTCTGCGTGAGCTGAGTGATCATGTATTAAATACCCACTTCCACTCAAACTTTCAAACTGATTTCAATTATGGTTTTTGCCTAATAGAAATGTCATTATTTTAAGTATTTCACTTACTGCTTTGGATATTTCTGTTTTTGTTTTTTTTTAACAACGTGCTTATGTTGTATTAAGTTTATAATCAGAAAAAAGCTAATTATTTAAAAAGTGGAATCAAAAGGCAAACAACACGCACTGTTCAGCGGGATCAGGCTCATTCTGATTTTCGGTTAAAAGCTCAGCCACCTGGCAGACTCGGAGCTGGGGCTGGCAAGGAGGGGTGAGGAGGAAAAGGCCGACTTCTTGATACTCACTCAGACTTGCTTGGGCTTCAGTCCTCCACGTGGATCTGTTTGAGAGAGAAAGAGGAGGTAAAAATGGTGGGAAGGGGACGCGGACGGCGTCTTCTGATGATGAGAGGGGCCGTGGGCCCCGGCCCTGCCCCCCGACCCTGGGAGCTGCTAGCCTCCGACAGGCCAGGACCACAGAGATAGCCACGTTCCAACAAACAGTTGTTCGTTGTCTGTTTTGTAAAGCTCAGCGACTTCAAGGACACAAGTGCTGCTCTCACAACATAAGAAAAAGAGGAAAAGGCTTAATGCACTGTGACCTTGTTGTGCCCGTCACTCTCAGAGACAAAACAAAGGGCAACCGCGTCTCTTGTTACTGAGCACCTACTACACAATGCACTGCATCTTATTTTACTTTTTAAACTGTCTTTATTTTTAGAGAGGGGGGGAGGGAGGGAGAAAGAGAGGGAGAGAAACATCAATCGGTCATCTCTTGTACGCGCCCCAACCAGGTCGGACCCTGCAACCCAGGCCTGTGCCCCAACCGGGAATCAAACAACCTGTAACCTTTCACTTGGCCGCACACGACGCCCAACCAACCGAGCCACACAGGGAGGGGCCAGTGCACTACAGCATATGCCAAACACACCCAAACAGGCCTGTCTAACGCTACAGCGAACAGTGCGGCCGTGAGACTGGTGCCAAGCAGAGTCAGACTACAATGTGGTCACGTAGGAGGAAGTTTCTCAACAGACAACAAAACCCTCTGTCAACAGGCATTCTCTGTTATTCCTATTCGGGAGGTCTGTCCAAACCTGCTGCTGGCCAGTTCATGGAATCTGATTAAATTGTGTGTGTGTAAAAGGATTTCCCCAGCCAAGAAAATATGCAGAAAATTCACACAAAAAAATGAAACTGACCAAAAAACATGGCCAAAAAAGATGTTCAACATCACCAGTAGCAAAGACAGACAACTTGACATGAGGTACTATTTGCCATGTGTGAAACAGAAAAAATGTAAGAAAAATAAAAATTCTACCCTGGCTGGTGTGGCTCAGTGGATTGAGCACTGGCCTATGAACCAAAACATCACAGGTTTGATCCCCAGTCAGGGCACCTGCCCAGGTGGCAGGCCAGGTCCCCAATGGGGGGCGTTTGAGAGGCAACCGGTCAATGTATCTCTAGCACATTGAAGTTTCTCTCCCCCCCGCCTTTCTCCCTTCTCTTCTCTCAAAAATAAATAAAGTCTTTAAAAAGAGAAAACATACTCCCTCAGCACTGGTGGAGGTCTGGGGAGAAAGGCATATTGTGTCTTACTGGTGTAACAGTAGTTGGGTGACCTCTCTGATGGCATAAAGCCGAAGCCTCCACCGCCCACCGCCTGCGACAAATGTTCACTGAAGTGAAAATGGCCAACAGCATAAATGCCTAGCACCTGGGAATTTCTTAATTACATTACACATTGTTTCTTTATATAATGGCATATAGTTAGCCATTAAAAATGTTGCTGAAGGTGAATATTTATTGACCTGAAGTACCATGAACATTAATACTGTTAACTGCAAACACGCATGTTATAAAATGGCATCGTCCCATTGTGTTAAAAACCATGCCAACCTCTCTCTACACATGTAAGTGAAAAAACCAAACAGGTCCAGAAAGGCTCTCCATTCAGGAGGCGATACTGCTCAGCCCCTGAGCAGGGCTGAGGCTCGGGTGGCAGGGCTCGGGTTTTTTCTTGCTTACTCGTGTTTGCTTTTTAAGGACGAACCTGCTGCCCTGACCGGTGTGGCTCAGGAGGTTCGACATCGTCCCACAAAGCAAAAAGTCCCCAGTTCGATTCCAGGTCAGGGCACATGCCCGGGTTGCAGGCTTGGTTCCTGGCTGGGGCATGTACAAGAGGCAACTGATTTCATGTTCCTCTCCCTCCCTTCCCTCTCCCTTAAAAAAAAAAAAAGTAAATAAAAAAAAAAAGAGTGAACCTTCTACTTCTAGAACAGGAACAAACAGCATAAGCCTTACAAGGAACTCCCACGGAACGAGCACTCACATGTGTTCCAGGATGATTCTCGTCAGGAGGTTTTTGAGGTTCTGGTGGAAGTTTTCCGGGAAGAGAGCCAGAACCGCCTCGGCGGAGCCCAGGTCACGGAACACCGCCAGCCTGGTGAGGCGGTGCAGAGCCTGGAGCAGCTGCAGGAGGGAGATGGGCGTCCTGGGCGCTGAGGGAAAGCAGGCAGGGGCCGGGGCCAGGCTCTCCCCCCACCAGCCACACACTGTGACAGCCATTCACCGTGGCCTCGTGAGTCCTGAGGCCTCTTTCGCAGGAGCCGATGGCCACGTGCCTCGGTCTGTCCCTGAGCTCACCTGCTGCTCTAGAAAACAGACGCGGCCACCTGGCATGAGAAGCTGTCACCCTGCCGGAAACCCTGCTTTCGAGCAAAGAGTTACTGAGTACCCTTTTCCACTGCACAGACTCTGACCTCCAGTTAACTTTCTAGCCCAGCAATTTTCAAACAGTGCACCACAAGAAGTTTCAAAATATGCAGTACCTATTTAGTCAGGGGGCTGACCTCTCTTTCCCTTAGACTGTCAAATAAAAAGAGTGACAACAGTGAACACAACCATAGCCATCTGGTGTGCATAAATCAAAATTATACCTTTTTTGGGGTCAAATCTGCAAAAAAACATATGTTTAGTGTGCTGCAGAATTCTAGTAATCAGTTTCCGCACGCACCTGGCCAGAGCCTGAGGCTGTGCTGACCGAACTGTCTGCTCCCAGAGGTACTGGCCCCTGCGGGTTTGGGCGTTGAATCCTGAGTGGTGGGAGTGTCGTGGCCCTGTCCCTGGGCTGTCACCTGGGAGGACAGAGAACCACCGGCTCCAGGCTGGCTGTGCGGCCCGCCCTGCGGAAGAGGAGTGCTAGGACACTGTGTCCCACCCTTCCACCTTCCAGGCGTGGCTGTGGTCGCTCTGTGGACATAATGACGCTTAGCTGAACCTGAGGGGATTCTCTGGAGGTCACCTGCTGCTTTAGGGCATTCCCTGATGCCTCGGGAGGCTGTTCAGCAACAGACGGGCACGACCAGAGGACAGGAGACAGTAACCCCGCACTGAGAAGGAGAGGGAGTTAGTAGAGACCTCCCTAGCCTCTCTGCCCCCCAGGGCACCAACGTTCTGGGGTGTGTTCCCCACGGCTTCTAACAGGCCCCTAAGGTTGGGCCCCAGCTGCCCACAGAAGTGACCGCTCACTAACACACACACTGTTACTGGTCTGCCTCTCTTCCCTGTTTGATTTTCCCCACCTTCTCCTTTGTGGTTCCCAGAACCACCTCTCAAGTGATACCTGCACCCAAGTCTTTGCTTCAGGGTTATAGCTGTAGAACCCAAAGGAAGTCTCCAACTCAGCTTGATAATCGTACTTCTGCCTTTTACCCTTCCACAGCTAACTTCAACGAACAAAGCTCCGGGTTTAGAAACAGCAGCAGCAGCAGCAGCAGCACAGGCCAGTCTGGATGCACTCCCGTGTCGGAGTGCAACATCCCGTGAGTCCCTCTACTCTTCCTCTTGGCCACCAGCTGAGATCGCCCTCCCAGCCCGCACATCCTCCCTCACAGCACTCAGGCCGTGGAGCTCCTGCCACTGACCCCTGAGGAGTCTGCTTGAGCTATCCAACCAACGATTAGTGAGCAGCAGTGAGTGACAGGCTAGGAAAGAAAAGCACGAAACGGCTGGCTTCAGCCACACTGGTGGGTAACACATCTGAAAAGGAAAAGGTTGGGAACCCTGATTCTGGGTCAGTTCTCCCACCCACACCTCATTGACAATAAGGAAATAAAGGTTCAAAACCAAGGCTTTTAAGTTCACTAACATTAAAAAAACTACTTTAAATTGCTTTAATATCAATAGACATTTAAGGGGAAAAAACTTCCGTGGACACAGCAATGGCTGGGAGGACAAGAAAGAGACTAAGGAGTCGAGAGCCCAGCGGCCGAAGGTCATTTCTGACCACACTGACCTGCTCCGCCTCCTCCTGGGTCACAGACAAGCTGGAACACGTGGTATCCAAGAGTGTTTTTGAGCCGAGGGCTGACCTGGAAAAGCTCTCTTGGCATAGCTGTCTGACAACGTCTTTTGAGGAGGCCTAGAAATTAATTCACAGATGGAAAAGCAAATAAACAGTTGATGAAAACAGATGTTTTAGAACAGTTTTGTCCCTATATGTATGTGATGGTATGACACCGTGTTGACACTCCAGATTTAACAGTGCGTAGGACACTCTCATGTCTGGGATGATGGATTCGGAGTACTTTTCCTTATTCTTCCTGTTAAGCACAACAAATGTCCCTGGGCATCAGGTGGAGAACAAACCCAAGGTGACTCTGAAAGGGGGAGAGGAGGAGACAGCCCTGCTGTGGACCTCACGGCCAGGGAATGGCATGGAGGTGAGTCCCCTGGGCTTTCTTTTTGTTCACTTATCTCAGACTCAGAGCTGAAGACGAGGGCAACGGAACACGCCAATGGGTGCAGAAAGAAGAAAGCTCCAACAAATACCTGCTCTCTAGCCAAGGGACCAAGAAAAGGGCAGCCCAGCAACACAGAAAACCTTAGACAGCAACAGCTCTCTACTCCCATCAGACACCACAGAGAGAACGGCGGCCCTGCCCTCACCCGGCGGCCTCACTTCCCTCATGAACACGTCCAACAGCTGTTTGTTAAGTACGTGCTGTATGTCAGGTGTTGGGGTAAACTTGTCGGCGATACATTTGTGAATAACATTAGATGCCTTTAGGGATGAAGATACAGAAGAACACGGGGGAAGTGGTTAAAACAACAGAGGGACCACGGCATGGACCAATGAGGAATGTTGTGCCGTGAATGATGAACTTGTGCCCCACATGACTGCTGAGTGTAATTAACTCTACCCTCTTCGTCTGGTGTGTTTGAAAAAAAAAAAAGTCTCTCATGGATCTCGCAGTCTTGTGAGAAAGACGGACAAATCGATGCATAATGTCCGCTAGTGACAAGAACTGTAAACTGCAGAGGAAGATAAAGCCGCCCCTTCCTACAGGAGGAGCCTGAAGTTAAGCAAATAATTCCAATCGATCATTTCATTCCATCCTTACAAAGACCTGTGAAGTACGTCCCTTCCGGCCTTACAATCTTTCAAATGATGATCAGGAGAACTTCCGGCCCTTATATAGGTCAAAGTGATGGGAGACTCAAATGTTGGGAAATTTTTAGTCTCAGGTAATAGTTAATAAGCTTAGTAAGCAACGTATGTAAAAAGCCATTGTTTCAGGAACTGAAGATACAGCCCACCCTGACTCCAGGAGACCTTAAGCAGTTCAAGATGGTATCTGAATCACTGTGCTCCAGGGAGAGCAGTCCACCACCCAGGGCACAGATGAAAGAATGCTGCAGCTTTTATCTGATTAACTTTTCCCTGAATTCCAAAGCCCTTACCTACGCTTGTCTTCCTTCCGCTTAAAAAAAGGGAAGGTTTAAAATAGAAGTTTAGACGGTCTGTTACGGTACAATCCCACTGTCTTCTCAGATCGCCCGCCATCTGAATAAAGAGCCCATAAAGATTCAATCACTGGTAGGTAACAGGCTGCATGAACACCGGCTTTTCCGGTTTCAAAAGCAAGTACAGAAAACCCAGGACTGTGGAGAACAAAGAATGTGCACTTTACTCAGGGCTGGGCGCATGCAGAAATAATTTCTCTACTGCCCAGCACTGCACAGGGACTGCTGGATGCAATCTGAACTGTCCACGTGGATCCAGCAATTACCACCCTAATGCACCGCTCAGGAAAACCAGCAGCGCTTTCACAATCATCTTATTTGTCCCCCCACCACTGTCAGGCCGGTATTAATTTTATTCTTTCTTGTAAACAGCTCAGAAAGGGGCAGCGACTTGCCCCGGGGCCACAGAGAGGCAGTGGCAGAGTCGTGGCTCCAAATCAAGGTCCGTTTATCCCCAGTTCCGATTCCATCTAAAATCCCGGGGACAAAGAGCCGCCTCACGCTGTCCCCACGCTCTAGTTTACCTTCAACAGGCTCTGGAGTGCTGCAAAATTTTCCGCAGTCAACGCAGCCATTTTCCCCAGGTCATGTGACCACTTCCACGGGGAAGCGCGGTCTCCGCGGCCGCGCGGGGCAGGCCGGGGGCTGTAGTCCTTTACGGTGGCGGAAGCCTCCCGGGGCTGGGGCCCCTGCGAAATGGGGCGGAGCCAGCCAAGCAGGGCGCGACGTCTGGAAGTTCTGTTGGGCGACTTGAAGGCTGTGGGATCGGAGGACGTGGGCACCGTTTGGTTTCCAGGGGAGGAAATGACTTAGCTTGTTTACTTACCAGATCAGGAAAAACCCTGATTTTTTCCCTGACCCGAGTGGATGGGCTAGCTGATTTGAGGAATGCGCCTTCATTGGCAGAAGCCTTGGGAACTCAGCTACCTAGCTGCTTGGAATTGAAATGTGGCTGTGCGTGTCGGAATTCTTGGAATTTATCCCTCCCCGCATTTCGGAGAATGTAAAATTGCTTTCACGTGTAGTTTCTTTATGTGTGCGGTAGGTAGGAGCTGGTACTATTTGCCTTACCCAGACGGGGAAACTGAATCAAAGTTTTTAGTAACTTTGCTATAGTCCTAGGGGAGATCCGTTCTGAAGAGCAGGTGAAGAAGCATTTAGAAGAGTCGGGGTAGGTCTGGAATCAAGTGAAAAAAGTGAAGGGATTAAGCAGTGCACATGGGTAGTTAGAGAATAGTCAGAGATGTAGGCTACAGCATAGGGAATGTAGTCAATAATATCGAGATAACTAAGTATGGACCAGGTGGGTACTTGAAACATCAGTGGACCATGTAAAGTAATAGGAGTTTTTAACCACTGTTTTGTATCTGAAACTAATACAGACTAATTTTGAATATAAACTGTAATTGAAAAGTAAAAAATAAATTAAAATAGAAATTACCTACTAGGTTCCTATCACACTTGTGGGGGAATTCACGGAAATGATTTTATTCCTTTGTTCAACGAGATAGTTACAGTGAATGTGGCAGGTGGTTTTTGGTAGGTAGTACAGGACTGATTTTTTAAGGAAACACCTGTCTCCTTTGCACCCCAAACCCAGTCTCTGTCATTTCCCTTATCCACCTTTAGTATCTGGTTGACTCACTGTTTTTTCCACCCCCATTTCCTTAGCAAAATTTGGCTCAAAATTTTAGCTTGATAAGTTCATGCTAAAAAAAAGAATTCCTAATTGTGAAATTCCAGACATTGGTAAACTAGGACATTTTTTCCAAGGCTTCCTACTTCTCTCCCTTTTCCTTCTCTCTCTCCTGTTCTCTGTCGGGGTGTTGTCCAGGCCCAGGAAAATAAACCCGGGTTGTGTCAGGATGAACCCATACCTGGACTAGAAGATTTTAGAGCCACATTGAAATGGAGTCCTGAGTCTACCTCTATTTCTTGGCCTCTCCCTCTTCTCTTCTCCGGGGGTCCACATGGCTTGATTCTTATTCTTCTCCCATGAGCCACTGTAAGCTGTAGGTTTAACACCTGCCTGTATCCATAGGGGCCAGCCTACGCCTTGAATGAATTGAATGTGTGTTCAATAAACAACATCCCAAAAGTGGTTAGACTAAGATTAATTCCTGTGATTTGTTTGTGGGGGGCATTGCCTTCCTATTTGCAGGATGTGCCTTCTTGTCTGATTTTGGAGAAGTGAGCAGTGTGGTCACCAGCCTTCAAGACGGCCCCCAAAGATCCTTGCCTGCTGGTATTCACACCCCTGCGTAGTTCCCTCCCACACTGTACGGGGATTGGTCCGTGTGACTGACAGCTGATGGCAGAAGTGATGGTATGTTGCTACTGAGATATGAAAGGCTGCACCTCCTGATGCTCTTTCATTTGGCCGCTCTCTTTTTCTTGAACCTCTTGCTCTAGGGAAAGCAAGCTGTCACGCTGCGAGCAGTCCTCTGGAGGGGTCCATGTGATGAAAAACTGAGGCCTCCAGCCAGTAGCCAGCCTGCCAACAGCCTCATTGCCGAGTTTAGAAGCTGGTTCTCCAGCCGCAGTACAGCTTTGAAATGACGGTAGCCTTGACCAACGTCCTCACTCTAACCTCGTGAGGGATTCTGAGCCGGAAACACCCAGCCAAGCCACTCCTGGATATCTGACCTTCAAAAACTGTATGCTTGTAAATGTTTGTTGTTTTAAACTACTAAGTGTTGAGGTACCTTGTTACGTGACAGTCAAAACACACACAAAAACGATAAGGCAGAGGGACTTTAGAATTCAATCTCAGTTTGAATCCCGACTCTGCGTGTTATTAACTGTACTTTGAACCAGTTCTTGAACTTCTCTGAGTCTGTTTCCAAATCTGTAAAATGACGTTGCTCATACCTTCTCAGAGAGCACCGCTGAGTAATAGGTGCTACCCCAGCTGGAGAATTCCAGCTCCCCTTGTCCTCGTGGGCAGGTCAGGTATGAAGGGATCCCCTGGGCTCCAGTTGGCCAGGCAGGGCCTCATGCCTGCCCCGTGGCATCCCGCTGGTGCAGGCTGCCCAGAATGCCCCTACCATGTTGCTTTGACAGGTTTGCCTGTGGGCTGGGGATCTCCCAGCAATTCCTCAACCATAAACATTTTCACAGGAAGAAACAGAACGGAATATTAGAGTTCAACATTTCCATGATTTGGTCTCACTGCCTGGTTTTTCTTAAGATTTCTTTCCAATTCTGGGTATAGCAAACTGTGCTTTCTTATATTTATTTAATAAACTTACCAGCCTCCATCTAAGTCTCTGACACACTTATTGATTTTTTACTTTCCATAACAATCCTATGCAATACACACATGCACAGAGTGCTATTAGTTTTCCCATTCTACATAGGGGGAAACTGAGTTACAGAGAAGTTTGGTAGCTTGTCCAAGGTCACACAGCACAGTAGTGGCAGAGCCCATATTCAGACTTGAGGAGTCTGACTCCACGGTCTGAGCTGTTACCCACCAAACTGGACCTGTCTCCTCGTCTTCCCATAGCTGAAAACTCATGCTGCTTTGGTCTGGATGTCGGACTACCTTCCCCGGGGGGCAAAAACGGTCTAAGGGTGTTCCTGGACAGGTGACCCAGTGATGTGGTGAGAGACAGTGTGAGGAGTAGAAGGGGGTACCTCGGGCTTTGGGAAAAGCCCCAGGTTCATTTCCTGGCTCCTGTGTACTTTTGGCAAGTTACTTCATCTCTCTGGACCTCAGTTTCCTCATCTGTAGAATGGGAACACCAGTCATTAAAATACCTTTCGACTATTAGGAGGAGCTTCAGGATGACTTATACCCCAAAGCGGGAAGGATCTGGGGACCGTGCCTGCCCCGGCAGCGCTTCCCTGTGCCGCGGGAAAGGGTTTGCCCTGGGGTGACCAGCCAACTCAGTTTTCCCAGGAATGAGGGATTTCTTGGAACACAGGACTTTTTGTACTAATGCTGGGACAGCCCTGGGGAAACCAGGCCAGTCGGTCACCCTCGTTTGAGCTCTGATCCCCTGAGGAAAGCCATCTTTGCAGAGCGCTTGTGCTCCCCCAGGGGGGCTGACGCTAAGAGAACGGTATGGATGCAGAAGTGTTTTAACTGAAGGGAGTCAAGGGTAGCAGTCTTAGTTGGGGGTTCTTTTTTTGTGGTGACAGTATTATTGTGATGTAACTCACATATGCAATTTACCCATTTAAAGGCTACAACTTAGTGGATTTTAGCGTATTTACAGAGCAGTAGAAGCATCACCACAGTCCGTTTTAGAGCATGATCACCACCCCTGAAGGTCACTGTGCCCTTCAGCTACCCAGCCCCAAACCCTCTCCATCACACCCCAGCCCTGGGCCACCTCTCACCTCCTTTCTGTCTCCGCAGATTTGTGTATTCTGGCCATTCCATAAAAATGGAATAATCTGCTACGTGATCTTTTTTATTGTTTTTTTTCCCCCTCCACTTATCCCAATATTTTGAAGTGCCTCACGGTGTAGCATGTATCCGTACTTCATTCCTTTCGATTACTAAATAATTTCCACTGTGTGGCTGCACCACATGCTGTTTATCCATTCACCCGCTCGCTGATAGATAGTTGGGTGGTTTCCTTCTTCTGGCTGTCATGAGTAATGCTGCTGTGAACACGCTTGAACAAGTTTCTTTGGATTCATGTGCTCATTCCTCTTGGGGTATATGTATCCAGGAGTGAAGTTACTGGGTCATGTGGTAACTCTGTGTTTCCCTTTTTGAGGAAGTGCCAGGCTGTCTCCCAAAGCGGTTGCACCATTTCCCATTCCCGTCAGCAGTGTGGGAGGGCCCCGAGTCCCCGCCTCCTGGCCGGCACTTATCCTTAGGCCTTTTTGTCCGCAGCCACCCCCGCGGCTGTGGCGTGGCACCTCATCGTGAGCAGTGTTGCTTTGAAATTGCATTAGCACAGCAAGCACGTTTCATCCCGTGGACTGCTTCGGTTCGTTTGGTGAAGATTTGGGGGCTTAAGTCCCCCAGTTTGCCCTCTGGTCCCACCACCAGGTTCCAACTGCCTTATCCAGGAACATCTGCGTGAGGTGGTCCTGCAGGGTGGGCTCCCTCGCTTCCCCGGTTTCCCTTTTCCTCACCCCCGTTTCATGGACTGAGGGGAGGGTAGTGTCTGGGCAGAAGGGGCTGCTCTGTCTTTCTGGTCTGAGGCTCCAAGCTAAGGGGTGGCTTTGAAGTGAGCTGGTCGCTCACCAGGAGACCACAGGCAGCCTGAGGCCAGAAGAACCGATAATGACAGGCACGCCCTGGCTTGGAAATGCCATCTGTGTCCGGATCACAGGCTGTGTGATTAGGGGCTGACTCTGCACAAACAATGTCTTAGTTGACACGGTGTTTAAAAATGGGGAGATGTGATACGAACATTCAAATTTCTGGCTCTTTAAAAACATTTGACAGGCCTAGCCATGCTGCTCCCACCTGTCTACACTGCAGTGGTTGGCTGGGCCTGCATCCTGGCTGCCCCCCCCCCCCCCGCCCCCGATGCCCAGGCGTGGGCTCTCAGAACCCCTACCATCCCTGCTGCTCTCTGTGGGCCACAGTTAACCCTCTCCATACATTTGTCACCTGCTTATCCCTGGGAGTATTGGTCAGTGCCAACTTCCCTCAGGGACCCAGTGGGGGAAACATAGAATTTGGGTATTTGGGATCCCAGGTTTCCATCCATCTCTGAACCGTCTCCTCACAAATCTAAGCCAGTGGCAGGTGTGATGTGATCATCTAAGTTGTCACTCATGCTTCTTGAGGGACGTCTATGGCCGAAGCACTGTTCTAGGAGTTTTGCATGGATTCGTACATTTAATCCTGACAGTGACTCCAAATAACTCCAGTTTTCAGGTGGGAAACCTAACAGTCAGAGAAGAAACGTGCTCACGGGCCACAGGTAATTAGCGACACAGCCAGGACTTGGAGGCAGGAGCAAACGAGGTCTTGTTGCGCCCTGGTCCACCACCGGGTTTCGGTGGAGGACACAGTGGAAGGGTCCCTCTGGCCTGACCCACTGCTGCTAATAGGCTTGTGGCTGGGCCACTGTCCCTGCCAGGTGCCCCTCACTGAAGTCAAGACTTGGAGGAGACGATATGTGTGCTTGCAGGGGTGATGCCTGTGATTCCTTTCGGCTCTAACTCGTGGGGAGCCTCTGAAAGCTGGTCAGGGAAGGGGAGAGGGTGAGGACCCTCCTGAACAGGTGTCCCCTCCCCCATTACAGAGCACCCCAGGCTGGAGGGCAAGGCTCCTCTCCCAGGTCCGAAGGGCCCGGTGGCTGTGATTTGTGGGTTCCAGACACAGCAGACCCAGGAGGGCATCGTGGCCTCGTTTCTCGCCCTCCTGTCCCCAGGAGTAACACAGAAGTGGCTGATAACACCCAGCATTGTCCTCACACACACAGGCCCTATTGTTTCCCCAATACACAGGGAGGAGGCTGTGACAATGGCCTTGAATGGCACTTCACTCTCCTTTCTCCAATGTTACACTTGTTTTTCAGTTCTGGAATCGGCTAAACAATTATTTCCTGCGGGGTGTATCAGCTTTTCATCTTGACTGCCCCTTTCCTCCATCAGTCCTCAGGCCCCGGGTCAGTGGGAATGCATGCAGAGCCAGGATCAGAGGGAGCTGGGCCTGTTGAAATGTCACCTTCTCAGGAGGCTGGAAGGCTGGGGGACCTCATGCCTCCCCTGCAAGAAGGGACCTGCCCTGGAGGAAGGAACCAGACCAGGTAACATAGGAGAGAGGCTGAGAGCTGCTGGCGGGCACCGGGGTGGGAGGCGGTGCTGAAGGCTCAGCCCCAGGGGAATGGGTTTCTGGGTTCAAGACATTCTGCCAACAAACAGGCAATAGCAGCTGAGGTCACTCTGCCTGTCTGACCCCCATTCAATGCCTCTGATGTTTTTTGGTGACCAGAAACTTCAGGACCCATGTGAGTTCATTGAGATGGTTGTTCCCTTAGTAATGGCTGCCATTACTGTGCTCTTACTATCTGTATTGTATCTGCATGCACGTTACTGTATGCATCTTTATTTATTGGCTTAGCTATTGATAAATAAATAAATGGGTATCTATTATAGCAAACACTTATACAATGTACTTCCCATTCTTGCTTGAGTCAAACCTAGGCAGTCTGGTCCTAGAATCGGTGCTTTTCATCACCATGCCTCTTGTATACTGTTCTTGACGATAAACCAAGGCCATCCCAAGGTTTCACTCTGACAGGCAGTGATAACTGTGTGCATTGAGTCTTCTGCCCTGTGCCAGGCACTGCTTTAAGTGTTGGCACTGATTTCCTTGTTTACCCCACATGGTGACCCTGTTGCATAGGTACTTCTATTATATCCACTTTGTGGATCAGGACATTGAAGTACAGAAAAGTAAAGTAACTCCCCCTGGGTGCTAAGTGGCAGAGCCAGGATTTGAACTCTGTTCTCCCTGGGGAGCTGTGTGAATCTAAAGCCTGCCCTGCCCCGTGGCTGGTTTGGAGTTAGTGTCCTCCTCTGGGTCAGCCAGTGTAGCGGGTGGCATTCTGTCTAGGCTTGGTAGAGCCTGAGTTGTCAGTTCGATGAACACAAATGCTCTTAAATGGTTTGTCAGTTGTCATTAGCTTTTGTCTTGCTTGGAAAAGATGGAATTGCTTCATGGTGACAGGGAAGGAATTTAGAATGCCATCTCTTACTTGGCCGGAGACTGGGCTGAGGCACCCCGTGTGTAGGAGGATGCATGTTGAATAAACGGGACTCACAGGGTGTTTCGGGAAGCCAACTCCCCTATCACTGCCCCTGACTTTTTTCAGTGGAGCCCCACTCTTGCCTTGCCTGGGGAGGAAAGTTAGGGCCGGTCCAGGACTGTCCAGTGGCCTTGCTGGTTCCCTCACTGTCTCAGTTCAGCCACTGACGTGTCTGAGTCTGTGGACTAACCCAGACCTAAAACTGTGCTCCAAGTGGGTGCCCCTGTTCCTCCTCCAGCTGATGCCTGGAGTTGGGGAAGGGGGTCTGTGGTCAGCCCCTCACCTTATGCTTCCGTCTGGCTCACTGAGGATTCTGAACCCAGGTGGGGAGAGGGTGTGGGGGACAGGGACAGGAGAGGAAGGCGAGGGGCCGGAAGTTCTTAAGTGGTTAATAATACTCAGATAGGCTGGCATCCCACTGGCTGGGCCTAGTGGGTGCTTAGACCTGATTTCTTCATCTCCTGCATGATTTTGTGAATATTTCAGAGAACACTCTCTGAACTGCTGGACCCTGGACA